CTTTAAGGTCCCTTCCAACCCGAAACAGGCTGGGATTCTGTGTTTGAAGTGCTTTGAAATCGTGAAACCATAAAGTGTGAAATAGCATCTTCACCCTTTCTGATGCATCCACAAAATGGTACCTGATTTTCATTCTCTTTGGGGGATTTCCTCTAGCAAATGATATAGTTATTTGCTCATTGAATTTGGTTTTCAAGGCCTTGGTGTATGTTAAGTAGTTTCATTTCAGTGTCACCGATGATACCATAGTCACAATATGACCCAGGAGGAAGAGCGCTCAGTTTCTGGTAGATCAAAATTGGGCTGAAGGTAGATATAAAAGACATAGAAACTAGTGCAGAAAAGGTGCAAATCCTGCTGGCTGACAGCCTGCATGGCCAGACAGTGACATGGATCAAAACCTCCTGGAGCAAAGACCTTATAGATATGTTCCTATTGAATGGCCATCCCAACAAATGACACCAGCAGCCCCTCAGAATCGGCCCAGCATCCTCACTGTCCCCTTTGCTGGTCCCTCTTTTAAATTCATCATCAACATACCCCCAAAATGCCCTCCCTTATGACTCAGCCAACAGCAATGTTGCTGGTTGGAGATCCTGGAAGTCTGGAGCCCATCAGGGGTTTTCAAGTTCACTCGGAAGGAATTTCCTTTCCTGATGTCGCCAAAGCCAGGAAGCTGCCTATCTCTGCACAGCAGCCACCAAAATTGGGCTTTCCTGGAATTTTCTCTTTTCCCTCCGCACACCCACACAAGAGGCTTTTTGGGACACCCACAGGCTGTAATTTGCCCTTTCCGAGCCTGATCCTGTGGCTTGCAGAGGCCTCGCTTTTGCCAAGTCATCATCTGGAGGGAACACTTCCTTGTGCAAGCGGGCCCTGTTGTGCCGCTGTGTGCGCGGTGGCCGCCGAGCCCAGGGGTGTCGCAGGCACTGGGACAACGACCATCAAGTCTGGGAAAAGGCCTAGAACTTTCAATTTCAACAGGCACAGCCCCAAAACCAGAAGGACCAAGAACCCAAGTGCTGTGGTTTCCCTTTGCCTGACTAAAGCAAATAGCTGCTATTTTTACTATAAATGTGGGCCATGGGGCCCTTCTCTTCCCCTCACAAGTGGGAGATGCTGCTCACAATGAAAGAGCGGGGGGGGGGTCATCCCAGATTAAAAGCAGCTGACTGGTCCACAGACATGTATCCCATAGCTGCTTCAGATGTTTCTTGCCCACACCACTGAAGATTTATTTGTAAGGTGAAAGGAAGTGGGGAAAGGGATGGGAGAATCTCCTCTCACATTCCTCTTTTTCATTTCAAGCAGCAGGGATGGGATCAATCTCTTCACCCCTCTCCTTCCTCCAGTTCCCGTCTCCATGCTGGATGTTCTCAGGCAACGTCGCATCCCTTGCAGAAAACCAAAGCCATGTGTAGAAAGGGGATTCTGGTGTGTGTGACCTGTGTTCACTGTCACCAGTGGAACTCGCAACCTCTGATCAAAAAAGATGTTTTCCATTTGCAACAACAACAGAAATCCTGAGGAGGCAGAACAAAGGCCTTGCAGTCTTGTTTTACTTAATGCTTATTAATTTGGTGTGTTTGTTCTGCATTAAGAGACTCTTTTTAGATGCCTGAAAATGCAGGGAAAGTACTAAATGTGTCAACATGACACCCAGACAAGTGACTTGTGGGAGGGGGAATGTTGTGGCTCATCATTTCTTTGATGCTTTGGTCCTTGGCTTATAACCATGTTACATGTGTATATAGTGAGGGATACCCCAGCAGAACCAGTTGGGTGTTCCACTGCGTCCCCTTTGTATGATGCTGCATCCCAGAAGTCCTTCCTTGCTCCATTTTCTTTCTGAACAGGAGCAGTCTGCTCCCCAAGGACTGCAGGACTCCTGCTGTTGGATTTGGGCTTGTGTCCATCCCATTTCCTGTGCCCAGGAATCCTGTGCTGGGAACTGATGGACAGGGGCATGCACAATGGGCTGTGGGAGCCTAGAGCAGGAGCTGCTGGTCCCACCTCTCACATTTGTGATTGGAATCATTAGAATTCCAGGTGCTGCTGTAAATGCTGCATTGTGGCACCATCCCAGTGCTGAGGAGGCTTATCCAGTCTGGTCATTCCATCAGGCAGGTTGCTTTTGGAGCTGGGATTGGGAGCTCACATTAAAATCAGACCCGTGAGCTAATTTGAGGAGGTTTTCATTTGCAGGTTTGAAGGCAATCCATTCCCCTTTCCAGTTAGAGAACTGTTGTATGGTATAACCCGTATCAGAGGAACGTGTCCCGAGTGACAGCCTTCACCTTCTCAGCCTAGAAACTAATTACTGCTGGGTCAACCAGCACCAAACTCGGGTACCAGCACAGAGCAAATCCTGCGCTGTGGAAGTCAGTGCAAACTGACCCCAAAGACTTTGAAATTCCCAGAGGAATGGCTGCTCAGTGTACAGTTTGCAAAGGCATTTCCAAACAATTGTTAATTATTCGGAAAACGCAGCCAAGCCTGACAAAGCCTTATCTGGGCAGACACTGAGGTCGCTATCTCCTGTGGAGCTGCACCAGGAGTAACACGAGGGGAACTTGTGGAAGCCTTTGTAGGGACCGGCTCCAAGTATGTACACAGCTGATTGTTTTCATAGCCTTGAAGGACTTGGGGCAGACACACACGAAAAAAAAAGATAGAGGAGTAAATACTGAATTAACTGCTTTTAGACCTGCGGAAGTTGCATTGAGAGCAGCCTCGCCGCAGCCCCCGGGCTGTCCTTCTGCAGCCCGCCTACCCTGCACAGAGCGGGCAGCGGCCCCTGCAAGCAAAGGGGGTACCGGGGAGGGACGGAGTGAGCCCGAGGGGCCCCAGTCCCGATGTCCGCTCCCCCTCCGCTCCAACATGGCAGCAGGGGCCCCGCCGCCGCCCCACGTGCTGTCAGCCCGCCGGCGCGCCTCTCGCCCCGCCCCCGGAGGCGTGGCCGCCGCCCGCTTTCGGCGCGTCGCCGCCGCTCGGCCCGCTGATTGGCTGGAGGCGGCGGTGGCTCCGCCCCGCGGGTTGCGCCGCCAGTTCCCGGCGTCCGCGGAGCCGGTGGGGAGGCTGCTTCTGCGTTCGTCCCGTCCCGTTCCGTCCATCCCGTTCCGTTCCATTCCGTTCCCTGCCCGCCGCGCCCATGGAGCTGCTGTGCGTGGAAGCCGTTCGCCGCGTTCCCCGCGCCGAGCACGACCCGCAGCTCCTGGGGGACCGGCGGGTGCTGCAGAACCTGCTGAGCCTGGAGGAGCGGTACAGTCCCCGCGCCTCCTACTTCCACTGCGTGCAGCGGGAGATCAAGCCCTACATGCGGAAGATGCTGGCTTTCTGGATGCTGGAGGTACGGGCACCCCCCTCCAGCCGCAGCGCGGGGCAGGAGCATCCCCCCCTGTTTGTTGGGGGCTCGGGGTGCGAGGGACGACCCAGGGGACAGGACAGCCCCGAAGCCTCAGGGCGCGGGGTGCGCCGGAGGTCGGGTCTCCGGTATGGGGGAGTTGCTGGGTGAGGAAGGAGCCTGCAGCAGGGCGGTATCTGTGCGCCGGCTGCTGCTGGAATCACAGCCCCAGCTCCCTTGGAAAGCACCTCTAAGCTCATCCAGTCCAACCGTTCCCAGCAGTGCCAAGGCCACCCCTAACCCATGGCACTGAGGCCTCATCTCCATGCAACACTTGCAGGGACGGTGCCTGCAGCCGTGCCCTGGGCAGCCTGTTCCAATGCCTGAGCACCTCTGGGGCAGGAATTGTTCCTCAGCTCCATCTAACCCTGCCCTGGTGCAGCTTGAGGCCAGTTCCTCTTGTCCCATCCCTTGTTCCTTGGGAGCAGAGCCCAGCCCCTCCTGGCTCCATCCTGTCAGGCAGTTGGAGGCAGCCATCAGGTCCCCCCGAGCCTTCTCCAGACTGACCCCCCCAGGTCCCTCAGCCGTTCCCCATCACACTTGTGCTCCAGGCCCTTCACGAGCCCTTTTCCCCATGCCTGGAGCATTGCACAGGGTTGTTGTGGCCCAAGTGCCACTGCTGCTGTGCTGCTGGCACCCCCCTTTGCTTCCTGCTCCCCAGGACTGGGCAGAGCTCAGCAGTGCTTGGGCAGGGCTGAAAGTGCCCTCTCAAAGGGGGAAAGCAGCACCACTACCATTTACTTCCCTAAACCCAAACTGAATGGGGCTCTATGCGGGATGCAGTTCCAGGGGGGTCAGGGAGGGAATCTCATGGGCCTCTCCATGAGGTGGCCAGAGCCTCAATAGAGAAAGAACAGATCTGCAAAGGACAAATGACATGGGATAGAGCCTGCCTGCTCCCCACCCCGCTGCTGCTGCAAAAGCTGCTTCTGTCAAAGGAAATAATGACCATCTTGCTTTTCAAGTTGTTGTTTTTTTTCCCTTTCCCTGCTATTATTGTTCTGTTTCTGCAATTCCCTTTCTGAGAGGGGTGGTTGAGGGAGTGGTGCTTTGGAGCCTGCTTTTTGTGAAGCCCTATGGGCAGTCAAGAGGCAGATGACACTTGGCAGTGATGGTGACTGTGCATTCAGTGTCCTCGGTGCTGCTGGAAGGAGAATGGTGGCATTGGCTGCTGTGTGAGGAGAAACCACAGTGTTTTTTATGGTTGCATTGAAAGAAGGAAGTAAAATATGACAAGTGTTTTGATACTGGTTGAGAAATAAGAGCAGAGGATGAAGTGCAGGGCTCCTGCATTCTGGTCATGGCTGTGGTACAAGTGGCCGAGGGAGGAGGACTTTTGGGCTCTGCCATTGATTCTTCTTGTGTGTCTGCACCACTTCAGGTGGAATTGCCCTGTTCCATCTCCAGCTGGGTGTAATCCCACCAAAATCATTGGCTTAACACCTGCAGCTAATTTACTCCTTAGCTCTAAGGTGCCTTTGAAGCCTTGCAGGTACAGTGTGAAGCTCCATCACAACCAGGAGCTTTGAAGCTGTGGTGCAGGCAGCCTCTGGGGAGTGCTGTGCTCATTGAACCCTCCTTTCCTTGTTGTCCTCAGGTGTGCGAGGAGCAGAAGTGTGAAGAAGAGGTCTTCCCCTTGGCCATGAACTACGTGGATCGCTACCTGTCCTCGGTCCCCGTGCGCAAGAGCCACTTGCAGCTCCTGGGAGCAGTCTGCATGCTCCTGGCCTCCAAGCTGCGTGAAACCATGCCCCTGACCGTGGAGAAGCTCTGCATCTACACAGACAACTCCATCACGCCTCAGCAGCTCCTGGTAACCACCCCTATCGCCAAGAGCCCTCTCCCTCCTCCCAGCTCTCTTATCTCCTGCATCCTGCTGCTTGGCAGCATCCCTGCCTCCTCCTCTTCTCCTTTCCCCACTTCTTCACCTTGCTCTGCATTCCCCAAGCAACCTTTCCTCCTCCTTGCCCTGCTGGGTGTGATGTCTGTTGGTGAAGACCTTTCCCTCCTCTCTGCCGTGGGAAGCTGTGATGTGACAGACTCCTCTCCAAACAGCAGGGGGGAAATGAAGCTGTAAGTGGAAAGTTAACCGGTAAACTCAGTCTCAAGACTGGTACCAGTTTAAAGCAAAGATCCAAAGCTCTTGAGTTCAGCTTTGCCAGGCGGGGTGGAAATTGCAGAACCCCTTTCCTGGGGGCCTTTTGTGCCGGTAGCTGAGGAGGAAGCGGCCGCCCCGCTCCGAGTGACAAACACCCTGGAGACCGTTTGCCTATGAGAGGTTCTCAGGGTTAGTCAGAGCCTTCTAAAGCACCTCCTGGTGGGGCTGGGGTGGGTGAGATGATCCCCAGGGTGGGAGGGAACCCACAACACTTTCAGGTGTGAATCGGAAGGAAGTTCTGGTAACTGGGGAACTCTGCTGTGAACGTGGGTTTTCCAAGTGCCAGAGAAGGCTGGGAACCCCCCCTCACCTCCACACCTCTCCCTGTGCTTCGTTCCTGTGTCTTTGGTGCTTTATTCTCAGTGAGGTTGGTTTTATTCAGTCAGATCTTGAGCTGTGTTTGTAGCTTTCAAAGGAGAGCAATGAGGAGATGTGGGGCAGGCAGAGCCCATGCAGCATCTCTGGAGCCTTTCCTTTGCTCTTGCTCCGGAATCAATCTGCAGTAGAGATGGACAAGAATGGCTTCATTTTGGGGGTCAAGAGAACCTTCTTGGGATGGCCAAAGAGAGCTTTTCCAGGCACGTTTTCCATAGGGGAAAGCACAGGGGTTTATTCCCAGTGTTTGGCAAAGGCACCACAAGCAGCCACAGCCTTGAGGTGTTTGTGGATGTCTGGGCAGGAGATGCTGCATAGCCCAGGATCATCCTTCCCTGCCCACCCTATCTGTTTAACCCTGTTTGGAGCAGATCTTGCTCCAGTCTCCCACTGTAGAGAGGGACTGGCAGTCATATCTGAAGATGCACGAAGGGTTTGTCTTTGCCTTGGGACCTGACAAGAGTTAATACCCCGATTACAAAACCCGGGTGAGCTGCTCTTTTCCTCCTCTGTGCTAATGTCACTTCTCTTTCACAGTGTTATAGTGGAAAAGGGTGGGGAGGGGAAGGGGAGCTTCTTCATTAGGGTTTGGACAATGGTGCATCCTGGCCTCTTCTCATGGATCGCTGCCATTCCGGCTTGCAGCGCATCCTCCCGGCCTTGCAGAGGAAGCTGCCTCCCATTCCCAGTGGTTTGCTTCCTCCTCCTCTTGCCGGGATGCTTGACACCAGCTCAGCGCTTTAGAAGGGCCACATCTGAAACAAAATCTTGGTGAAGTTATTCTAGGGAGAAGGAAATGATGCAACGAGGGACTTGTCCAGTTGGAGGAAGTTGGATTTCCGTCGAGGGCGTTATCTAACCCACCTCTCTTTTCGTGTAAAGGCTTTTCTGGCCTCTGCAAGAGGCTGTTGAGCTGCTGGAAGGTTGGGAGAGCAGCTGTAGGTCACCTTCCTCTCTGGTTTGCTCCTAGTACATTGGCTTGCTGCTGAAATCCTTCACCTAAGGTCCCGTTTGCAGACTGGCAAAGACAGCAGGATCCAGCCACGGGGCAGGTAATGAAGGGAGCAGCAGGGACAGCAGGAGTGAAGGAGCCACGAGTGGGAAGGGACATTCATTTCCCATCACACTCATGTTTCACTGCGTTACCTTCTGCTCGGATGGATGTGGCTGCTCCTGCACCTGATGTTGGCACCTTCTCAGACTCAAACACTGGAAGCAAACACGTTAAATACTTGCAAATGGACTTTCACGGCTGCTCATTTCTGTAGCTGTGTCTCAGCACTGGCTTGGGTGGGTGCCAAAGGGCACCAGCAGCATCTTCCAGCCTCTTTGAGTCAGCTGGAGAGCGCACCAGGCAGTGTCCCATCGAGCCTGGGCTCATGGGAGGTGGCACCTTATCAAGTGGGGTGAGGACCTCGAGCACAGCTCCCTTTTCTCCTGCAGGCAGTGCTGCTGCAGGGGGGAGCTGGCCTTCACCAGAGGGCTTGTCACAGGCTCCCTATAGGCACAGGGGTGTGAGGGGTGAACATAGCGACAGTCACTGCATGGGGAGAGGCCACTGGGGCTGTCACAGCCCAGACTGGGTTTGCAGAGCTCTGAATGGAGTAAACCAGTCTCTGCTTGGGACTTGAGCCTGTCAGCAAGAGGGCGCAGCAGCAACTGGGGCTTGAGGCTGTTGGACTGCAGCAGGGCACTGCTCTGAGATCCCCTTGGGAATGGTCACTGCTTTCCTCCCCGTGTTTGTGTGCTTGTGGGATGCAGCCAGGAGGCTCAGGGCAGCGAGCCCGCAGAGGGAAGCTTGGCTGCTGTGCAGTTCCAGCTTGGAGATGCTGGCCAGGGGAACCGGTGCGTTCCCAGCTCTGGGATGCCCAGTGGGCAGCCTGCAGCCCTTCCATGAGGAGGATGGGCTCTGCAGGCCACAGAAACAAAGGGACATTTCCCACTTTTCCTCTTGTCTCCCATTAGCTGGGCAGAGACTGATTCACTTGGTGCAGAACAGAATGCCAGGAAGAGGATGTTTGCAGGCGCAGACCTGTCTCCTGCAGCTTTTGTTCTGCTGCTTCCAGAGATGAAGGGATTCAGGGTAAGGACACGCTGCTGGGAAAGCGGGAAGTCCCCAGGGATAGCAGGAGAGGAGCAGGCTGGTTTGGCAGGAGAGAGGCTTCCCTGAGCTGCTGTGCACCCTTAGGGCAGAATGTGTCCCAGCAGGCCAAGAGCTCTGCCAACACCAGTGTGCTCTGGGAGGATAGGCCTCAAGGGCAAGAGCCCACATGGTGCTGGGTTGGTGCAGCCTCTGCTCAGAGGCTCTCCTCTGGGTTGTGGTGATGCCCTTTGGCATTGCTTTGGGGGCAGCCATCTCCAAGCCCTCTTTTTGTCCTCTATGGAGCTGCCTCCACCTCTCACCCTTGGGCAGTGATGCTGAAGGTGTCAGCAGTGTCCTGGGCCCCTTCCCAGGCAACTGGGCTGATGCAGGAGCCAGCAGCCACCTTTCCCTGCCGTTGGTGAGCGACAGGGACAACACATGGAGCTCTCCATCTCCAGGGGCTCTGTCCTTGCTGTGCTCCTGCAGTTTCATCACTGGTGTGTTCTCCCCAAGCTCCATCCCTGTTCCAGCCCCTGTGTTCCGATCCCTCTCTTCCCATCCTCAGGCTGAACCAGGCACTCAGTGACCTGTGCTGTGAGCCTCAGGCTCTGGAGCTCATCCCCAGGTTTCTTCTTGCTTTTATCCTGTGGACTGGGCCTGGCAGGCTGGCATCCATGTGGGAGAGCAGCGTGTCCTGGTGGGAGCAGTGCAGGGAGGGCAATGGCACCCGGCACGTTCGGCCTTGCAGGGTGTTGAGCAATGCTGCAGTTTGAGCAACTCCAAAGGGTGCTGTTGTGTAAGGGGGAAACGTGGGTTTAAGAAATAAAAGGGAGAAAAATGAAGCTGTGCCCTTAGGAAAATCTCACTTCTTCAGCCCCATCTGTTGTGCAGCCCCTGGTGAGCAGCACTGCCCTTGTAACCCTAAACTGCTGGGGGAAGAATAGCTGCTCTGCTGGGGAGGACCAGGGCCTGAAATGGAGACACCTGATACAAATCCCAGTTCAGCTCTGGCCTCCCAGACCTGGAGCTGCAGCTCCTGCAGGGCCACTGTCCCTGCTGGCGAGGGGGGGACATGGGGTGTCTGAGCTGGATTCGGTTGCTGCTGTACCTGAGCCACACAGACCTTGACACTGATGGCAGAGCAGGGAGCTGAATGCTGGCACCCAGGTTTGGTGCTAAGGCGCTAATAGTGGGGTTGCCCTGGCTGGATGGGTGCTTTGGTACCACTGTGGTACCACCAGGACTTGCCGGGTGATGCTGCTGCCAAGTGCTGGGTGTTGGGTCTGATGCCCAGCGCTGGAAGAGATGAGAGGAGCAGCTGAAATCCATGGGGACACTCAGTTTTCCCATCATCTCTTCCCAACTTGCACATTGCTAGGAAGGATACTGCAGAAATCTCTGCTCAGATGCTTAGAGAGAGCATCACAACATGAACAGAGACAATGGCAGCACCCAGCACCTAACTGGGAGTGATGGAGGAATAGGGGAATGGTGCCTACTGCTCCTTGCTCTGGTTTCTCCTCCATGGGCAAAGCAGAGGAGTGTTAAAGACTAATCCCACTGCTCCTTGGGAAGCAGAAGCCAGATCTGTCATTTCCTCTGCTAATCTTTACTCCTGGCCTTGCAACAGCTCAAGGCTGGGTTTGTGCCATAGCTGCAGAGCAGGGATGTTCCCTCTTTTCTTCCCTGCCTCCTGGATTGCACTGCTCTGCTGTCCCTTCCCCAAGCCTTGGTCCTATCTGCCCTGGAACCCACTGCCCCAGCCCCACTATGTAACGTGCTGTCCATCTGATCCCGCAGGATTGGGAGATTCTGGTCCTGGAGAAGCTAAAGTGGGACCTGGTCTCGGTGATCGCCAATGATTTCCTGGCTTACATCCTCTGTCGCCTCCCACTGCCGAAGGACAAGATGGAGCTGGTGAAGAAGCACGCACAGACCTTCATCGCCCTGTGTGCTACAGGTGGGTGCCTGCTCCTGGGTGCTGTGGGCAGGGAGCTTGGATGTCCCTTCCAACCCAAAGCGTTCTGTGCTCCTGTGGTTTCTGTGCTAAGTGATGATTAGGGGAGTGGAGCATCTCCCTTATGAGGAAAGACTGAGGGAGCTGGGTCTCTATAGTTTGGAGAAGAGGAGACTGAGGGGTGACCTTATTAGTGTATATAAATATATAAAGGGGGAGTGTCCCGAGAATGGAGCCAGGCTCTTCTCAGCGGCAAACAATGATAGGACAAGGGGCAATGGGTACAAACTGGAACACAAGAGGTTCCACTTAAACCGGAGAAGAAACTTCTTCTCAGTGAGGGTGACGGAACACTGGACCAGGCTGCCCAGGGAGGTTGTGGAGTCTCCTTCTTTGGAGACATTCAAAACCCGCCTGGACACGTTCCTGTGTAACCTTATCTAGGTGTTCCTGCTCCAGCAGGGGATTGGACTGGATGAGCTTTTGAGGTCCCTTCCAATCTCCAACATACTGTGATACTGTGAAGTGGGGAGAGGCACCTTGGTCCGATCCCTCTGCTTTGCCAGGGAAGCTGCAGGCCCGTGTGCATCCTTACTGACTGCTGCTTCTTCCCACCCCTTGTGTCCCTGTCCTGGCTCTAGACTACACTTTTGCCATGTACCCCCCATCCATGATCGCCACGGGCAGCATCGGAGCCGCCATCAACGGCATCACGGTCTCTGTGAGCGACTTCAGCGGCGAGGCCATGACCGAGCTCCTGGCCAGCATCACCGGCACCGAGGTGGTGAGTGCCCAAGGAAACCCTCCCTGCTCCTCCTCCTGCTCCTCTTAGAGGGATGGGGCAAGGGGAACCGGCCTCAAGCTGCACCAGGGCAGGTTTAGGTGGAGCTGAGGAGCAATTCCTGCCCCAGAGGGTGCTCAGGCATTGGAACAGGGCTGCAGGCACCGGCCCTGCAAGTGTTCACACCCCATGGAGATGAGGGTCTCAGTGCCATGGGTTAGTGGTGGCCTGGGCACTGCTGGGCAATGGTTGGACTTAAAGGTCTTTTCCAGCCTGGTTGATCTCTGATTCTATGAAGTCAGGCTCTTCCTAATGAAGCTGATCTTGGTTTGAGGAGTGAGCATCTCTAAATGCAGCCATCACCCTCAGTCCTGTGGCAAGCACAGAGCCTTTGAAAAGCAGCACAAAGGGGAAGGTCTGTTCCCTGCACAGGCAGGTGTTGGGGGGATCAGGTTGACGAGGTGGGATGGGGCAGAGGGAGTAGCTGGGCTCAGCATCTGCTCACCTCCACTGGTGTCTGATTGCAGGTGCCCAGGCTCCCATGGGAAGGGGGTCAGGAGCATGGGGGGGGGGGTCAGGAAGCAGGGGCTTTGCTGCGGTTATTGGGGTGATGGAGCCATCCTTTCTGCTGCCCTTTGAATGGGGCAGGGGGACCCCGCTGGGCTCCCTGTTTCCAGCTCACTCCCACTGCAGGATGTAATCCAGAGCCTTTCTCCTGCCAGGGGCCCCTTTTGATCCATCCTGCCCCAGCCCGGAGGCAGCAGCCAGGCACGGGGTCGGTTTCAGTCCCCTGACACCAGCGCTGAGAGCTCGAAGGTGCCGGTGGCTGCGCTGAGGCTTTGTCCATGCAGGGAGGGACGGGCAGGGGGGGTCCTGATCCCTGTGTGCAGCTTGAAGCTGTTTTGTTTGCCGGAGCCCTTCAAAGCAGGAAGCAGAGCCACCGGCTGCTCCCAAGCTGCTGTTGTGGTGAATGGGGCAGGGGCTGGAGCACGGGACAGGTGGGAAGCAGGGGAAGGCACCGAGGTGGGAGCTGGAATGGAGCCCAGCAGCATCCCTGCTGTGCTCCCTGCTCACTGGAGAGGGCCCAGGCAGCTCCAGCTTTGGCTGTGCACAGCCAAGGGGCTGCCCCATCCCTGGCAGTGCTCAAGGCCAGGTTGGACCAACCTCCTCCAGTGGAAGGGATCCCTGCCCATGGGGCAGGGGTTGGAGCTGGAGGAGCTTTCAGGTCCCTTCCACCCAAACCAGGCTGTGTTTGTGTGCTATTGCCCGGGCCTGGGGGTGCCGGGAAGCGGGGCAGGGAGGAGGCAGTTGCTATTTTCACTCACCACATCCTCTGTCAGTTTCTAAGAACCACCAGTGATTCCTGGTAAGAGATTTCGGGGGGTGACGATCCCCAACGGGTGCCTGCGTCCAGCTCCAGCCCTGGGGTGTGAAACGTCCCCTCGTGCCCCTCGGTGGGTCCAGAGGCTGGGCTGCGATGGCTCCTATGGCTCCTGGTATCCAAGTGGAGGAGTTTCCTCCTGGTTGCAGGTTGTGGATAGAAAACAGGGGGGGGTTTGCCTGTGATTTAATTATATTACTTATTCATTATAAGAAATTGATTTGTAATAAAATCCCCCGCTCGCAGCCCCCTGCACCTCCCTGTGTGGGGCCTGGGGTGTCCCCAGCGCTGGGAGCCGGTCACAGAGGGGCAGAGCAGGAGGGTGAGAACCTCGTGGGAAGCTGCGTGGCCACTGCTTTGTTGTAGTAAGGACCCAGGTGCATGGTGCTGTGGCTGTTGGGTGCCTGTAAAGGCTGACACCCGCCTGCACGGGGCTGTTGTACGCAGGATGGAGCACGGATCCTCTTGGAAGCTGTGATGGGCACAGTGTTCCTCAAGCAGGGAGAAGGCAAGCAGAACGTGGGGCCTAGAGCACTGATAAGCTGGAGATGCCCCTTGTTGGAGAGGGGCTGCTTTGCTTTGTGTTTAGATGCTCCATGGGGCAGACGCCAAGCCCGGAGCTCCTTGGAAGGCAGAGAACTGAGGCCTCTCGTGTCGCTCCCTCTCCCGCAGGACTGCCTGAAGGCCTGTCAGGAGCAGATCGAGGCAGCCTTAGCCGAGAGCCTGAAGCAGGCATCCCAAACCCCGCAGGAGCTCCGTGCCTCCAAGAGCGCCGCGTACCCGGGCAGCCAGCCCACCGGCACGCCGACAGACGTCACGGACGTCAACCTGTGAGCAGCCACGTCCCCAGAGCCCAGCCCCGCTGCATCGGGCCCCGCACACCCAAGGGTTGCTGCATCCCCCCTCCCATCATCCCCGTTGCCACCCGGCTGCTGAGGATGCGCTGCATTCATGGGCAGTGTGGAGCTGGATGCTGGTTCTGTGCTGCAGGTAGCTGGGGTGAAGCGAGCGCTGTTGGGTGATGCCAGGGCCTAGGAGTTGTTGGGAAGGGGCAGCGGGACCCCAAATGAAGTTGTAAAGTGTTGCTCAGTTCACGTTGCTGTTTGCCACCTCCTCGGGCATGGGGTTTGCTGTGAGGAATCCCAGCCCTGTGTGGGGCATCGATCATGGAGAGCCCCCAACCCTGGATACCTGACCTGACTCCTTGTATCCTTCAACTCCCTCCCCATGCTGCAGCCCTGCATGGCTTGAGGGAGAGAACTGAGGGCCTGGAGGAGGGAGCAGGGGCTCAGTGTCCCTTGGTCCCCATTGCTTCGTGCCAGAGGGCTCTTGGGGGGGGGGTGGCGTGGCTGCTTCTGCTTGGAGGGCAAAACATGGGGCTTGTTTCTTGTTGCTGTTAGGTTTAGGGTTTGGGGGGGTTTGTTTTGCTTGTGGACAGCAGGAGCGAAGCCCTCTCCTTGGGCAGCCTCAGGTGAGGTTTGGGCCTGCTGAGGCTGCTTAATTTATTGTTAACTGCTGGGAATGGGGGGGAAGAGTTGGAGCTCCCTCTTGCAGGGCTTTGCTGCTCTCCTCTCCTTCCCCTTTGAGTGCCTTCACCCTTCATCCCCTTCCCGAGCTCCCTGCGCAGTGGGAGCCGCACTTGGAGGCCGGTTGGTGGTTTGGGTAGCTTAGATCAGACTAGGGTTGAAGAAGTTCATTTGCTGCTACAGTCTGAGCTGCATCTCCACGCCTCGGGGCTGGGAGCTGAGTAAATCCCCCACGGATCGCAGTGGGAAGGTGGAGATTTTGCTGCGCACTTGAGAAGCAATCCCTGCTCTTTGTGTATTGTTGATCCTGTTAGTTTGTATAAAGTGTTCCTCTATAAAAGAAAACCCAGTAAAAAACTAATGCTGCTTTCCTAAGAGAGACCCCTTCAAGACTGGAATTGTATTGACCAGGAGAAGCCAGAGAGACCCTTTAGGGCTGAGGCAGGCTGGTTGGTGCTGCTCTGTGGCCGATGTCCCTGGGGGATGTGGAAAAGGAGGTAGAACTCTTCCTCTATGGATGCCACTAGAAACAAAGAGTCTTTCTCCAGGTGGGAAATGGGCTGCCATTCCTTGGGATGAGGAGAAGCAACTCCTGCACGCGGGGGCCCGGAGCCTGTCTGTCCATAGAGAAAATGTCCTTTTTTTTATACATATATATATATATAAATGAGTTTTAATTTAAGAGTAAAGTGAGTTTGGTGTTCACAGCAAGATTCCCGCTGCTGGGAACATCAGTGTCTGGGATTTGCAATAAAGTCTTTTAAACAAGTGTGGAGGCCTCAGGGGTTTCCCTTCGCCACTCGGGGCTGTGCTTGGCCTCCTCTTCCATTATAGAGCCCCTGCCTCAGGTCACCCAATGGAGCAACCCTGGCAGTGAGGGGGGGTCCCTGTGGGCTCCAGCCCTGTGTTTCCTGCGGCCACAGGATGATGAAGCAGGGAGCAGGAAGCCAGCTCAGCCATGGTGGGGTATAAGGGGATCGCACGGTGCTTGATGGAGCAGCTCAGGGATGCTGGTGGGTGAATGTGGAACCAAACCTGGGCCCATGGAGCAGCAGCTGCAGGATGGAGACAGCTCGCTGGATGTGCAGCACGAGCCCGGGGCTATCGCTCGTGCTCATCAGCTTCTGGCTGCTGTAAAGGAGATAAAGCTCAGGAAGCTGAGGAGCAGGCACTGAGGGTGCAAGCAGCCCCTGTCGCTTCCTGCACTGAGCTGCGGCTGCTGCTGCCATGGGAGAGGCTGCCAGCACTGGAGAGCAGTGACAGGAAGCAGCAGAGCCTGGTGCAGGTTGTGTCTGTGGGAGCCTGTGCTGGTTTTGGGGTACTTGCCATGTATAAACCCTGCAGTGTCACTGGTGGTGGTTCCCAAGGGGAAGCACAGCACTGGTGATGGTGTCAGCAGGATGGAAGGTGCAGGCCATGGATGGGGGGATCAAAGGCCAAGCCCTCAGGAAACCCTCAGGCACTAAGAGGAGGGGCTGCTTTTCCCCATCATAGAACAGTTCAGGTTGGAAAGGACCTTATGATCATCCAGTTCCAACCCCCCTGCCATCATGAGTGGTTCCGAGCTCTGGGAACAGTCTGGGGGTCCCAGCCCTGTCCCCCCAACCACACAGGGGCTGCTCAGGGCAGCACTGAGGGAATAACCCACAGCCAGGGCCTGAGGAGGGCACAGGAGTCCCTTCTCCCTCCTTGGTGTGGGGACAGCACCAGCACAGTGACTGAATGCAGTACCTGGGGTTGGTGGCTTTGCTCTGCCACCTGCTGGGGACAGGATGGGGTAGGGGAGGACCACGCAGGATGCAGCCCTGGGTCCGGAAGCATGGACGCTGCTCCGGGTTTATTTTCCAACACAGGAACAAGCCAAACCCTCCCTGGCGCTGATGGCACCAGGTTCTGCCCAGTGCAGGGAGCACGGTGCTCTATGGGCACAGCACTCGGGGCAGCAGGATCCTGGCTGGATGCTCCTGCCCAGCTCCTCACGGCTTCACTCACACACACTGAGAACTGCATCCAGCAGCATCCAGGAGCAGCTCAGGCTGCGGCTTCCCCCCATCCCTGCTCACTCCATGGCTGCAGGCTGCTGGTCCTCCACATCCCGAGTCTTGGAGTTCATCAGCTCCCTCCGGATCTCCGGTGAGATCTGTGGGTGGCTGTGGAACTTGAGCAGCTCCAGCAACGCCTCCTTCTGCTCCGAGGACAGGTCCTCCTTGTAGCGCTGGGCCAAGGCCAGGAAGCTCTGGTGCCACAGCACGGGCAGGACGCGCTGGTCCGTGCGGAAGGCCAGGAAGTGGAAGACGAGGGCATCCACCACGCGGAAGGGCAGCGCGTACTTCTTGTCGATGAGCAGGCGGAGGAAGATGCTGTTGGCGCCGTTGTAGGGCATCTCGGCGAGCTTCAGCATGGCCGCGCTGCGGGGACATGGGGGCAGAGATGGCAAAGGTAAATGCTGAGCCCTGATCTGAAGGGGAGACCTGAGGTGTCACAGCAAGGTCCCTAAGGATTAGCTCTGCCACCCAGCGCCTTACCTGGAGTGGAGGACGGGGATGGAGCACTTGGTGAGGATGCTGCCGATGATGATGGCCTCCCGCAGCGTGCAGGTCCCCGACTCGCACAGCGGGATGAGGATCCCTAGGGAAGGGTCAGGCAGCTCCTGTCCTTCACCATCACCCTGTGATACCGCCCCTTCTCCCACCCTGGGACACATCTGAACCCACCAGGGCTCCCACCAGCCCTGAGCCTGAGGTTGCCAGATGAGACCCAGATCTCTGCCACCGACCTCCCAGAGAACCCAAGTACCTTTGAACCAAGCTGCTGGCTTGAACAGAGCCTTCTTCAGAGCCATGTAGAGGTGAAAATTGAGGCGCTTGTACTCTGCAATGTCGTCCCTGACCCGCGGCAGCAGCACCAGGTTGTAGAACCGCTGGGCCATCCTCTCCTTCAGGTTGGATGAGAATATCCTGGGAAAAGCAAAGCCCAGAGTGAGGATGGAGCCAGGCACGGGGCAGGTTCTGCAAACCTGGTTCCAACTATGGAAAGAAACAGGGAAAACATCCCAGAGACCACCTCACCTGGTGGCCTGGTACATGGCAGCCGCTGTCCATGCCTCCGGCTCCGTGATGTAGAGGATCTGCTCCCAGTTGGACAAGGCAGGAATGATCTTAAATGCTTTGGGGAGCTTCCCGCTCCTGTATTTGGACAGCACCTAAAAAGACACAGATAAAAGACTAAGCCGCGACGTTTGGACACCAACACCGGGACCTGTTTGACAACCACACCAAAGCCATCTCCAGTGAGCACAACCCATCCCGGTACCACACCATGCCCCCCATAGCATCACCCAGCAGCAGCCTGGGTGCTCAGCAACCAACGGTGATGCCTCACCTCTCGCACCCCCCTGTAGACCTCCAGGACGCGGGGGTCGAGCTGGGGCATTGGGCATCCGGACGCCTCGGACAGCGCCGTGTCCACCTCCGTCTGCTTCTCGGTGATCTTCTCCAGGATGACGTCCGCCAGCGTGCGCCTGCGGCAGGGCTCGGGTCGGGGCCGTGCTCAGCATACCCCCGGCTCGCTCCCTCCTGCGCCCCGCGGCCGCACTCACCTCAACGGGGGGTTCTTGGTCATGAACCGCTCGATGGCCGCCTCGTCCTCGGGGTCCACCTCCACCTCCCCGCCGCGCCCCGCAGCCGCCTCCAGCGACGGCCACTCCTCATCGTCCTCCGAGTCGGAACCGGGACCTGCGGGAGCGGGGGGCCGGAGCCGGCGCTGGTTGAGCCCGGAGCCTCTCGCCTTGGGGGCCGGGGGCTCACCCAGGACCGTGCAGCGCTGCTCGGGCGCGCCGGGGCCGTGCTCGGCCTCCAGCTCCTCCTGCTGCCGCCGCGCCTGCTGCAGGATGCGCCGGGACAGCCGCGCGTCCACGTAGCCCGGCTCCCGCTCGTCCTCGTCCTGCGCGCCCGCCCGCGGGGCCCGAGGAGCCGCTTCCTGCAGGATCTGCTCCGCCAGCGGCAGCCCCGCAGCGGGGCCGGAGCCCCGCGCCCGCCGCACCTTGGGCATGGCGCTGGGGAGCCCAGAACCGGGAGCGCGGCCACGCGTGCGCGGCCGGAACCGCCTCTTCCGGCGCCGCCGCGGGTCGGCCCCTTCCGGTGGTGGCTCCGTGCGGGCGGGATGGGGGTGACCTGGTACCGGGGGTGGGAGGCGGTGGGGAATGGGGGTCCCGGGGGGTCGCTTCCGGGTCTCTCTCATCCCCCTTCTCCCCCGGTGCAGCGTGTCGCAGGTGCCGGTGGCGGAGGGGAAGAGCGTGCAGCAGACGGTGGAGCTCCTGACGCGGAAGCTGGAGGTGCTGGGCGCTGAGAAGCAGGGCACCTTCTGCGTGGACTGCGAGACCTACCACACGGCAGCGTCCACCATCGGCACCCAGGGTCAGTGATGGGCAGCGGGGCTTCTCCTCTTCTCTCTGCTGACCGGGGGGGGGTCTCGGGTGCAGCGCATCCTCCGGGGGTGCTGGTGTGTTATCCCGAGCTGCAGGCTTGGTTTATTTCACAGTATCCCAGTATGTTGGAGATTGGAAGGGACCTCAAAAGCTCATCCAGTCCAATCCCCCTGCCGGAGCAGGAACACCTAGATAAGGTTACACAGGAACGTGTCCAGGCGGGTTTTGAATGTCTCCAGAGAAGGAGACTCCACAACCTCCCTGGGCAGCCTGGTCCAGTGTTCTGTCACCCTCACTGAGAAGAAGTTTAAGTGGAACCTCTTGTGTTCCAGTTTGTACCCATTGCCCCTTGTCCTATCATTGTTTGCCACTGAGAAGAGCCTGGCTCCATCCTCCTGACACTCCCCCTTTATATATTTATATACACTAATAAGGTCACCCCTCAATCTCCCCTTCTCCAAACTATAGAGACCCAGCTCCCTCAGTCTCTCCTCATAAGGGAGATGCTCCACTCCCTTCATCATCTCAGTTGCCCTGTGCTGGACTCTCTCCAGCAGGTCCCTGTCCTTCTTAAACTGAGGGGCCCAGAACTGGACACAATATTCCAGATGAGGTCTCGCTAGGGCTGAGTAGAGGGGAAGGAGGACCTCTCTCGACCTACTAACCACCCCCCTTCTAATACGCCCCAGGATGCCATTGGCCTTCTTGGCCACAAGGGCACAGTGTCGGCTCATGGTCCCCCTGTCGTCCACCAGGACGTCCTCCTCTTTAACGTTCAACCTTAAGCCCCAAATCTCTGCTCACTAACACCTGGGGTGAAAGGCACACAGAGGGTGAGGTTAAACCGGCTGCAGCTCTAAAGCACCTCCAAGCACAGGAGTGGTGCTTTCCCAACCCAGATCCCACTGGTTTGCTTGCAGGGCAGACTGGGAAGCTGATGTATGTGATGCACAACTCCGAGTACCCGCTCAGCTGCTTCGCGCTCTTCGAGAGCGGCCCCTGCCTCATCGCCGACGCCAACTTCGACATCCTCATGGTGAAGCTCAAAGGCTTCTTCCAGAACGCCAAAGCCAACAAGATCGAGAGCAGGGGCACCCGTTACCAGTACTGCGACTTCCTGGTGAAGGTGGGCACGGTCACCATGGGCCCCAGTGCCCGTGGGATATCCGTGGAGGTGAGAAGCTGAATGTGAAGGGCCTGAAGCGCAGCTACGGGCAGGGAAATGCTATGTTGGTGAGAGGAGAAATGCCCTGGGCCTTCTGCATCGCTGAAGTGTCAATAACCAAACCAAAGAAGGCTGAAAAGCTCCCTAAAGTCTCAATGTGCAGCATTAGGAGCACGCTTGAGGTTGATCGGGCATCCCGCTGGACTGGTACCCAACAGTCCTTAAGATAGCTGGGGATTAGGTGCTGAAAAGTCCTTCAAAGCCAGCTTTTCTAAACGCACAAATCCCATTACCTGATCCACGGCTATGATCCCACTGCTCCTGCACATTCCTGGCCAGCAGGGAGAGCACTGGGGAATGACTCCTTCCTCTGCTGCTCTGAACACCCATGTGGCAGCATTAGCGCTGCTGTTGAGTCAGAACCTGGTTTACCCTAAACTCGAGTTCAGGGTGGGATTTGCAGGCAGTCTGGCTGCTGCTCTGAGGAGTTCCTCCAGGATTTGCATTTGCAGCTACTCCTGCTTTGGGACCAGACTCAGAAAACCACTGAAGGCCTTAAATCCCAAGGCTGGGATTGCCCCGGTTTGCTTCTCAGGGTGCCCAGAGAAGCTGTGGCTGCCCCATCCCTGGCAGTGCTCAAGGCCAGGTTGGACACAGGGGCTTGGAGCAAGCTGCTCCAGTGGAAGGGGTCCTTGCATGGAGCTGGAGGAGCTTTAAGGCCCCTTCCAACCCAAACCATGCCATGATTCTGTGATCCCAGCATGTCCTGTTCATGTCTATTTGTCCATCCTTGTTAAATGCTAAATATCCCTCAGTGATTCTGTGGAAAGCATTCTCTGGGGGAGGTGGAGAGAAGGAAGAGGTTCAGGGCTGTGCTTCCCATTGCCAGGTGGAGTACTGCCCGTGTGTGATAGCCAATGACTGCTGGAACCTGCTCATGGAGTTCATGCAGAGCTTCATGGGGAGCCACGCTCCCGGCCTCCCCTCCGTGTTTGGCACCAAGCACGACAGCATCTACGGCCCCTCGGACACCATGGTGCAGTACATGGAGCTCTTCAACAAGATCCGCAAGCAGCAGCAGGTGCCTGTGGCTGGGATGAGGTGAAAGGAATCCCTGGGAATCCACTTTGGAATCACTGCCTCCTCTTCACCGTGGGATCAGGACCCTCCGAAAGGCAGCACTGGAGCAGCCCAAGGTGCTGTGTTTCTTCTCAGTCTCTTTCCCCCCTGTTTCAGAGCAAAGGGCTTGAATTCTCCACGTGTTTCTTGGCCTCTTTCGTGCTTTTGAGTGCATCTGGGATGGGGCTTGTGGTGCTGATGGTTCTTTGTCCAGTGCTTCATGTGGGGGATTAGTGCTCAGCAGGAAAAGGAGCAATTCCAGCCAAATCCATGCCCAGATTGGCCGAGCTCCTTGCAGGCACTGAATTAGAGATTTTCCTGAACTTTTCAGGATATCCACATGTCTTTATTTTCCATGGAAATAAAAAGCTGTGTTTTGTGAGGAGGTGGAGTCTTTCCGCACAGCAAGCCTGGGGCTGGGTTGGAGGGTTTAGTGCCAGCTTTTGACATCTTCTCTTGCAGAGCTTTCTCTCTGACGTGGTTTATACCCCTCAAGCAGACTCATTCCCCTGTGGCAAAGCTGAATTCTTGCATCCCTGTTGCATCCTTAGCTTGCCTTTTATATCTGATGGGAGCGTTAAAATCTGCCTCTTGAGATGCTATTGATGAAGCCTCGTGATCAATACATGGATCAGCCTGGAAGTGGGTGGTAACCATCCTCTCCCTGCACTGCACTGCTCATCTGAGACATCCCAGGGACTTCAGCAGGTTTAATGGGGTAAGGAGGGATCTTGAGGAGTGTGAAGGGCAAGTAAACAGAGAGAGATTTCTCCTAAAGAGCCTTCTCCCTTCTGAAGCAGCGCAGGGGGAAAGAAGCTGTAAGGAGTTCTTTAGATAGGACTTCTCTGTGGTTACCATCATACCTGTGAACCCAAATAACTGTTAAAGAGCCTCGAGCTCTTAGCATGGGCATTTAATACACTGAATCAGCACTGGGTCCAGAGAGATCTGGTTAATGCTCAGTGCCACAACGTCCTGTGAGCGTGTCAGGGATTCACCTGCTGAATCCACTGTGGTTTTGCAGCTCTTAGCTCAAGTTCATGCCGTGTCTGCTGCCTTTAGTGCGGCCGTTTGTTTGCAGGGGTGGCCATGCAGTGAGGATGTCGTTCCACGTGGTGAAGTGGGGCTGGGGAACCAAAGTGCAGTCTCTGGGGGATGCCTCTTGCTGTCCTGTTTCCCATTTTAAGGCTTCAGGTTAAGAAATGGTAAGGTTGGGTGTGCTGAGGATTGCTGCTGCTCCATTCATCCCTGAGCGATGCATTCTGGAACCAGAGATGGCAAAACTCTGGTCACTCCTTTCAAAAACATCCAGTCTCTGAGGTCTTTATGCTGTCACTAACGCATTGTCCTGCTCCTAGAGTAATAAACCTGCCCCCCTTGATCTGCGTCCTGCCTTCAGTTACCCCCTCAGAGCCATGGGTGTCAGCATGCACGGAGGGTGGGTAGGACTGAGCCCTCTATGTCTTAGCACATGTGCCTGTTGCTGACTGCAGTGGTGAGCGAGGGGATCAGCCCATGTCCCCCCCCTCCCTGCTTTTATTGCAGGGCTTTTTGCTTTCTTGATGGACAAAATGACTTGGGTTTTCAATAAGTAACCCTTGGTCTGCCCCCCCGGAATCCCTATGGCAGGTTAACATGGTTCCAATGCACCCATCTGCATCTTAACAGGTCTTCGGGGGGCTTTCAGTGTTCCATTAATGGATTGAGCCCGTGTGACTGAAAACCCCCCTCATTCCACCTGCCAAACCCAGCCTCTAAGGTTGTTTTCCTGTTGCTCCCCAGTGTTTTCTCAGAGACACCAGATCCAGAGCTGGCCAAGCTGCAGCCCTGCATCACTGTGCAGCCCTTGTTCTGCTTCTGCACCCCTCGCTGGCAGTGGTGTTGCTTGCCATGAGTTGAAGCCTGACCTAAAGGGGATGGGTGATTGTGTGGCTGTGGGTCTCACCTCTTAGGTGGAAGGAGAGGCTGACGTTACCGGGCTCACCCTTTGGCAGAGGGATGCTCTGGGTCTCGCTGCCACCCTGGGGATGCTGTGGCTTTTGTTCTGTGCTGTTTTTGCATGGGGAGGTATTTCCATAGCAGCTGCACCTGCTGAGCTTTAGAGACCTCAGGGTCTCATTAATGATCACTCCTAATTGTCAGCAGACTACAGGCTCTCTGCAGTGGGGTTAGGAGGTGGGTGAGTGCGTTGCTGTGCCCAGGAGGGCTCAGAACAGCCCCGGCACTGCTCAGAAAGGGAAGGGGTAGAGAGAACCCAACAAAGCCCCCAGCAAGGGGGGGTTCATGGGAAGGTTTGTCTTCCGAAGGAGCTGCCAAGGCTCCGCAGTGTCTTTGTGCCCTGCCTGCCGGTAAATTGCAGTGCTTTGCCTCAGAACTTACTTGGGATGAGACGAGGGGGACGCTTGGGTCTCTGTGCAGGGGAACTGCGCGTGTGATGCTGCTGAGCTGTGCTGTGTGGTCCAGGACCCGTCACGGAGCCAGGGAGCAGGTCCCTGCCTCCCCCCCCCCCCCCGATGGTGCTTGAAGGCTGCAGAAGTGAGTTATCCCTATGGGTACAGGTGACCCCCAGTGTGGCTGCCCCTTGCTTGGCCCTGTCTCCATCCTTCCCTTTGTGTCTGATCCAACACGTTTCCATCCCCTCATGGCTCCTGTGTGTGAGCAGGGGGCCTTGCAGTGACCTCCATCACAGGCTCCCTCTGTGCTCACTGCTGCCTGTGGGGCACGTACCCCATCACCTCAGAACGCGCCATCACCTCAGGGCCCCTGTGGGGTACCCCACACCCCACACAACAGCCTCAGGACCCCCCCGGGAACGCGCCAGCCCCATTCCGAGTCTCTTTGTCTCCGGAGCATCCTTATTTACCCTGCCATGCCTCAACCCAACTTCAGCCTGCGATTCACAAAGCCCGCTACGTCACCGGCGGGGGCCGGGCCGGCGCCGTCACCGCCCCGCGGCGCTGCCCTCCCGCTGCGCCATTGAAGAGCCCACCCTAGCGGCTACGCAGAGTGCGTAAAGTTCGGAGTGGAGCTCTCCCCGTGTGGCGGCGTAGATTGCGTAAAGCGGCTCGCGTCGGTGCGCTGTGAGTTCTCTACGGAATTGGCGTAAAGCAGCGGCTCTGAATGGGGAGGAGCGGAGGGAGGAGGGGGGAGGGGGGGAAGGCGCGCGAGCGCTGTGTGGCGTGCGCTCCAGCCAATGGTGGGGCGGGGCGGAACTCGAGGGGGCGGGGCCTGGCGCGGCGGGCGGCCAATGGGCGGGGAGGGGGGCGTGGCCGGCGGCGGCCGGGGTGTCTCGCGCTGGGTGACAGCTCGCGCGTGCTGATGATGGCGGTAAATAAAGGGGCCGTTCGCGGGGGGGGGGGGCGGAGGGGGGCGAGGGTGATCCCCCCCCACCCACCTTGAGGGAGGGGGGGAGGAGGGGGAGGGTGAAGTGGGGTGCACCCCACTGTGAGGAGGGTGCTGAGGGGTCCTCGCGGTACCCGCGTCCCCCCCCATGGTGTAATGGGGGGGGGAGGTGGTGTGTGTGAGGCGGACCCTGACCCGCACACGGCCCACCCCCCCCGCCGCCGCCTTTCTGTGCGGGGGGGGCCCCGCGCCGGGCTCGGCGGAGCCGCAACTTTCCCTTTGTTGAGGCGCGGGAGCGGCGGGAGCCCCCCCCCCGCTCCTTTGGACCCCCCCCCTCCCGCTTTCACCCGGTACCGGCCCCTCACGGCGGCTTTACCGCCCCCTGGCGGCCGGGCCCGGCACAGCGCGGGGGGTGCTGCGGCGGGGGCGGTGGGGGGGGTGTGTAAAAACTGCCCCATAAAGCCCTGTGTGTGCTTGGGAAGGGTCCGCAAACAGGGATAATGCATTCCCTATGGATGGGGAACAGGGAATGGGGTCTTGGATCGTGTTTATTTAAAACGAAATAATGAGAATGGGGGGGGGTGTTGTTTCCGCCCCCCCAGCGCAGGGAGTAACAACGGGGATGCGGGGCGTGATGGGTCCGGAGCTCCGAACCTTGCTTTAAACACCGGGTACAGTTGGAGACACTGATGGGTGTCTGCAGCACCCGCTTGGTTTGGAATATATGGGGAAGGGGGGGGAAGCATCTTTACTTAGAGCTCCCCTCGTACTTCTGGCCAGGGAAAGATGCAGCGAGCTCTTGGAGTAACAGAGCTCTTTTCATGTGAAATGTTCCCAAATTGGGTCCTTTCCTGTACCACTGCTTCGGAGGAGATGCTGCTGCAGCCTGAGGAGCGAGTGGAGCAGGATGTGATGGGCGCTGCTGGCTCCCCAGCCCAGGCACAACTCAAAGTTGGAGCTCCTCATGGAGCAGCAATGGCTCTGGTGGTGAAGGCAAGGAGAGGAATAGGGACCGGATTAAACCGGGCGATCAGGAGGTGAAACAGGAAGCAAAAAACAGGGTGTTAGGGAGCAGAGATGGGAGCTGCTCCTGGAGCAGAGGGAGCGGATGGCTGGGGTATGAGAAGAGGGAGAGCTGCGGAGTGGGAGGATGAGAGCGGATAAATCAGTGCAGTTGTGACTGTAAACTCCATGTGGGTGTGAACTGTGGATTAAACTTGCCCTTGGATTAAAGGAGTGAAGTGGCTGGAGTTATGCCCTGTTGACGTGCAGCATCGCTGGGCTTTGCGCTGAATCGCTGTGCCTCTGCCTTCAGAACAAGGCTCCGCTGTTGAACCATTGTCAGATGCGTTGGTAGGGTGTTAAAAACAGGAGCCAGGGCACCCAGAGTGTTCGGGGTTGGGTTTAACTGCTTTGGAAAGAGCTGAGCTGCAAAGGCTCAAACAGGACTCGCCAAGCGAGCAGCATTTGATGCCTGTGAGCGTTCAAACGAGTGGGGAACGCTTGTTTGTTTCCCCCCTCATCCTTCTTCCTCCTCATCTGAGCCGACTCCAAGTGAAAAGGGGGGTTGGAAGTCGGCAGCGTCTCAGGTCTGGAGTGATGCTTGGTCTCGTGCAAGTTGTGGTTCGTTACAAAGAGCTGTGCTTGCTCAGGAGCGGGGTTTAACAATAGTCACACAGGCAGCGGGTTGTGGAATGCTGCAGCCACTGCGTCCAAACCAGGGGTTTATTTAATGCCCAGAGATGTTTAGGGCAGAATCTGCCTCTGCAGTTGTATGGAGAATGGGGTTGTGAGTGATGCAGAGACCTGTGGGGCCCTGTAAGGATGGAGAAGCGCAGAAGGAGCCTCGTGTGCTTGGTGAGATCAGGGCTTGGATTGGGAAGCTCGAAGGGAATGGCGAAGGATCTCCTTTTGTGTTGTGCTGTGGATGACAGGGGTTCTGCTGGCTGGGATGCTCAGCTTGGTGGATCACCTCTGCTCCTGGGTGTGAAAGGCTCCGGTGTGGGTCCTTGCTGCAGCAAGGGACTGATCAGAATCCTT